ATAGTGAAAGACTGGTTAATGACAACAATGCATCGTAAAACCTTCAGAAGGAAAGGAGAACGTTTTGTGGACCTTTTTTTTTGTGTGTGTGTGTGGCAGTTTTTAAGTTATTAGTTTTTAAAATCAATAATTTTTAATGGAAACAACTTGACCAAAAATCTGTCACAGAATTTTGAGACCTATTAAAACAAAGTTTAATGAGGAAAAAAAAAACCCATAATACATAAGGTAGAAGGCATTTCATACAAATTGTCAGTAGTATACCATGTATAATAGTAAAGTTTTTGAATGAAAGGGATTCATCATTCAGCAGATAGGATGCAGTGATAGGCACCAGGCTTCCAGAGCCAGGGATCATGTGAACAGCCTGCTCTCAAGGGCTCACAGTGAGCTTGATGTTTGCATGAGGACAGCAGAGGACCAGGTCACAGAGGGCTTTAGTTTGTAAGTAACAGGCATTGTTCTCCTAGCTCAGTCTGTGCCCCTCCATTTTTCCCTAGTTATTTCCTACCCACTCTTCTTCTTTTAACACCTTAAGTTATATAAGAGTAGATCATATATTATATTGTTTCTTTCCTACCACTTATGGGCTGAGAAGGTGATGACTTGGGTCAAGGAGAATCACTCCCCTAGAAATAATAGTCTCTGCCTACTGTCTTGACTCCTTTATTCAGCACCAGGAAATTCCTAGAGATCTACATTCTTTTTGCTTATTTCACTGTTGAGGTTCAGAACAAAGCTCTGGGCATCACATCAACATTCCTACAGAGAACAAGGTGCAGTGCTACCCTACACACACACTATCTCTCCCCCTCCCTCTTCCTCTCCCCCTCCCTCTTTCTTTCTCTCCCTCCTTCCCTCTTCTCTCCCTCTTCCTCTCTCCCCCCCCTTCCCCCTTTCTTTCTTATTTGTTTATTTTGAGAAGGGTCTCAGTTCAGGCTGGCCTTGAGCTCAGTTTGTATCCTAGGCTGGCCTTGAACTCACAGCAATCTTCCTGCCTCAGCCTCCCAATTTCTAGGATCACAGGCATATACCATCATCTTTCTTTTTTTTTTTTTTTTTCATAATTTTATTGAGAAACAAATAGCAATGAGACAGTTTCAAATCAAATTGGTAGGACAGTTTCAATAATTAACACTTTGCATACATACTTCCTAGTGGTCATCTGTCTTTTTTAAGAAAGGTCTCACTATATAGTCCAGGCTGACTTTGAATTCTTGGCAATCCTTATACCTCAGCCTCCCAAGTGTGGGATTTTAGTTGGAAGCCACTACATCTGGGCTTTCCCACGCTTAAGATTCCCTGAACTGCTGTGCAGCTGTCTGCTTATCTCATTGGTCTGAACTAGTCCTGTGGGCACATCTAGCTTCAAGGGATGCTGAAATACAATATTTTGGTTAACTATGCCCCATTTTTTAAAAAATGGAACCTGGGTATGATGGCACACATTTGTAATCCTAGCACTTAGGAGGCTGAGGCAGGAGGATTGCTGTGATTTTGAAGCTAGCCTGGACTACATAGTGAGCTCAAGACCAGTAAATCTGTCTCAGAGTGAGACAGACAGACACACAGACAGGCAGACAGGCAGTGACTATCTCAAAGTCTTCACTTACTAGTACCAGCAGACCTGTGCTGGATATGACTGATTCTTCTCTGGCAGCTGGCATTGTCCATCTGCTCTGTGTTGTGCTTAGTGGATCACTGAATATGCTCCCCTTGGAGGCATGTGTCCTGAAAACCCGGAAGTCGCGTGGTGAGTTCAGTGGTGGTCACTGAATGGATGTAAGTGGCCTGAGATAGGATTTTTTTTTTTTCCCAGTACTAAGGATTGAATTTAGGGCAAACCTAATGCACATATGCTGTAGCAGACATAACCCTTTCTGTCAGCGTGTGAGCCAAGTCACCCTGGCAGCCTAGTTTTGTATAAAAATTGTTTTTTGAAATTAAAACCCCAGGGCTGGTGAGATGGCTCAGTGGTCTAAAGCACCTACTTAGAACAAGCTAAGCTAAGCAAAGCACAGGGACCGCGATCCCCCAGCACCACATGCCAGCCAGCCCCGCCCCCTGGTGGGCTGAGCTGGCCACACACACACACACACACACACACACACTAAATAAATAAATAAATAAACATTATAAAAAATAAATAAATAAATAAATAAAAATAAAAATAATTAAAAAAAAAAAAGAAATTAAAACCCCAACATTCAGATTTAATTATAGTGTTGGCACTTTGTGATAAATGGGTTTGGGGGTGCACTTTGGGCACTCAGTCTGTAAAAGCTTTGCCATCACTGACTAACAGAGTGCTAAGGTATAATCCCAGCCCTCTTTATTTTGAGACAGGTCTTTCTAAGTCACCCAGGTAGACATCAAACTTGCTCCAGCCTCCTGAGTAGCTGGAATTATAAGCATGCACCACTCTTCCTGGCAATTCTTAGGAATCTGTAATAAATGGGAATACTTAGTTCAATGCACATGGAAGAGTATTTACTTAGTGATGCTTTGAGGGCTGTGATGGCATTTTCCTGTAGCTCTGTGTTCTTCCTACAAAGAAAGCCTTCTCTAATGTTTCTCAGACATTTTTGGTTTTTTGAGACAGGCTCTCACCTTGTAGTTCAGGCCTGTCTTAAAATCACTGTGATCCTCCTGTCTCATCCTCCTCAGTGCTGAGACTACAGGTGTGCACCACCACATACCCAGCCAGACCTTTTTTTATTAGCCTGTTTCAAATCTTGCCAAATGGAAGCACCTTTATCTTTATAGACCTGAAACAATGATTTTAATGTCCTAATTCCAACAGTAAATTAATTAACATTTTTCTCTGCATTCATCCTATGAATAGTTACAAAAGGTGAAGTAATACATACTCCTAGCCAAGAAAATAAGCCATTCTTGTTTCTTTGGAGGAGCTGTCTTTTTTTTTTTTTTTCAGAACCAGGGATTGAACTCAGACCCTTGCGCTTGCAGGCAAGCACTTACTCTACTGAGCCATCTCCCCAGCCCCAAGCCATTCTTGTATGAAATAAAAGTTGCTTTCTTATAAAATTCCCCTAATACGAATTATTTTTTATATACTGTAAATGTGATTGGCTGTGGGGTGTCCCTGATTTTCCCCTTGATTTGAAAGAATCAGGGTATGAAAAACTTATTTAAAATCCATAAACTATGACATTCTTTATTCATATAGATAATATATACTCATACATATATGTATACATTTTAAGAATTTTTTTATCATATCAAACCCAGAGCCACAAACATGGTAGGCAAGTATCTGTCATATTTTTAATGAGATTTATTTTAAAACAAGAAATAAGTGTTGGCACACACTTAGTAATCCCACCACTTGGGAGACAGAGGTAGGAGGGCTGCTGGAAGTTTGAGGCAGCCTGTGCTAAATAACAAGATCCTGTCTGTCGCTTGCTTGCTTGCTTGCTCGCTCGCTCGTACTCTCTCTGTCTCTGTCTGTTTCTGTCTTTGTCTCTGTCTGTCTCACACATACACGCGCACACAGAGGTGGGGAGTATATAATGTGTTTTTCTGTTTAAACTATGGAAACCAAGATTAAGTTTCTGTTCTCTTTCAGGGCAGCTTGGTGTTCGTAGTTGGAAAAATGGATGGATTACTAATGGTTAGTGGGCGAAGACATAATGCTGATGACATTGTTGCTACTGGCCTGGCAGTGGAGTCCATAAAGACTGTTTATAGAGGAAGGTGAGTGATGTGGGTTCGAGTGTCAGCACTTCTCAGGGCCTGAGTGGGACCCACATGTCTCTTTCCATGTGACTCAGTTGCCTGGCTTTGACTGAGTCTCTCAGGATCTGGTTCTTTGGATATAATTGAGAAGAATAAGATATAACTATGTCCTGTATTTTATATTTTAATTGTTACTACTTGTTAAAGCATCCATGACTGCAAAGAGTTCCTGCATTCTGTAGTCCAGAGGCAGTGGTGTTCAGGATAACGGACACATACCACTTCTATAGTTTATATCTGTACTTGATCTTAGCCAAAAGGTCGAGAAGCAATACTTTATGTCTAAGAGTTATTTCTCATACTTATTTCTAACAGTTATTCTATACTATCTTAATTTGTAGACTGACATAGCCCACAAGTACTAATAATTTCAAAATCTATGGGAACAGCCATCTTTTTTCTTATTAATGCAAGTCAAGGTATTTGTACCTATTTGGATAATGTCTTAGTTAGCAGTTTATAGTCATGGACATATATCTTCAGAGCAACCTTGGTGTCCTTTCAGTTCTTTAAGAAGAAAAATTAATGAAAGCAGAAAACAACTGGTTCCTGAAATGTGTGGGGTTTTGTATTATTTTGCCTTCCTCTGAGATGTAAAACTACATAGGACTCTGGACCTCCTGTCTTTGGTCACAGTTGTGTCCCTAACATTCAGCATGATACCTCACACACCACGGCTAATCCATAGATCTGTGAATGCAAGGGAGGCAGCTGAGAAGCTGAACTGTTCTGCTCCAGTGGCTTCCCATTTCCACGCATTTGTTCATTAATTCCTCATTGGATGTGAACCACATCCCACTGTTCTAGGTGCTTCGACTCTGGCTGTGAACAAAACAAGCCTAGTCTTGCACATCCTCGGGTGGGAATTACACAGCAGCAGAGTGGACAGGGAAACATCATGTGAGAGGCTGATGCCTACTGTGCTGGCGTGGGGGGGGGGGGGCTTGCCTACTTACACAAGGTGGTCTGGGAATGCCTCACTAGTAAGGGGACATTTGAGCGGAGACCTCACTCAGAACCAACTCCATCCTCCCTCCCTGGCCTCCCAGGCCTCTGCGATCTGCCCTCGCCTGTGTCTGACTCTCCCTCCTGCTCTCTGCTTCACCACTTTGCTCCAGGCACACTGGCCTTCTTGCTGTTGCTCAAACCTGCCAAGCTCGTCCCTACCTCAGAACCTTTTCGCTTTCCGTTCCTTCTGCCCGGAAACCTCTTCCTCCAGATCTTCACGTGGCTCGCGTCCTCACCTCATTCAGGTCTCTGCTCCAGTGTCCGCTCCCCAAGGAGGCGCTCCCCAGCCACCCGCACCCCCTCCACTGGGCCTGCCCTGCGTGCTTCCTGTGCACATGGCAGCCGGCCTTTCTATCCCTTGTTGGTGTTGTTCTGTCTCTAACGTGTAAGATCCATGTAAGCAGGAACTGTGTTTTATTTACCACTTTGTCCCTAACATTCATGACAGTGGTGCTTAATATGTGTTTTGAATGAATCCATCTTCATTTTGGTGGTAATGAGTGCACATTTTCTTTTCTGAGCTCATTTGTGGGTGGAATGGTGGGGTCGTCTCCTCTTTGTGGTTCCAGTTAAACAAAGCAAGTAAGACTGGTTGTTAAGGGAGTCTGATGTGTTTGATCTGTCTCTCTTAGAATTGCTGTGTTTTCTGTGTCTGTATTTTATGATGAGCGCATCGTGGTGGTTGCAGAGCAAAGACCTGATGCCTCTGAGGAAGACAGCTTCCAGTGGATGAGCCGAGTGCTGCAGGTGAGCGTGCTTCAGGCTTGTGTCTGCGACTCAGGCACTGGCTTTGGTGGCCTGCTTGTGCCACTTTATTTTTTTCTTGTCAATCATTGCTGAGATATCCTGGGCACTGCAATTCAAATTAGGTAATGAATGCCATTTTTCTTTTTGAACTGCATAATATTTTTCTATCTACATTGCCAATAACAATTAAACTGATTTGCCTCAGCAGATTCTTCCATGCCTGAATATTTACTGTTCATGTCCACGTGTGGAACATGTGACTGTAATCTGTACACAGTCTCACATGTGTGAGACTGGCACCTGCAGATGTGGCTCCATGAGAATAGCGGGTGTTGATGTTCTTAAGGAGCTCAGCTGCAGAGTCCTTTGGTGGGTGCCAGTGAGACCCACACGAGGAAGGCAGGTGACTAGGGCTTAGTAGCTAGCATATGTTTCTAGTGGGGCACAGACTACAGGGTGGAAAAAGCTGAGAATTTATTAAGAATCTTGGAATTTTGAGGGGCTGACCAGATAGCTCAGCGGACTAAAGAACAGGGACTGGGGTTCAATTCCTGGTGTGCTGTGCCAGCCCTGCTCCCAGAATGCGCTGAGATGCTGAGACTGGGCATGGTGGTGCACACCTGTAATTCCAGCTCTTGGGAGGCTGAAAACTAGAGGATCACTTCAAGTCCGGTATGTGTAGTGAGACTCTGTAGACCCTGTACTAAAATACAAAAAAAAAAAAAAAAAATCTTGAATTTGAGTCGAGTCTCCTTACCCCTAGGCAAGTGATGAACTTTACCACATTTATTTCCTAACCTCTAAGTAGAGACAAATTGTCTATTTTACAGAGGTATTAGAAGGAGTAAATGAAATAATGAAACACATAGTTCTTACAGTCAATAAAGAAAAGTGGTGATTTTTTTTTCCCCCTAAGTGCTGGGGATTCAACACAAGAACTTTTTTTTTTTTTTTCAGAACCGATTGTTAAACTCAGGCCCTTGTACTTGTTGGGCAAGCACTTACTCTACTGAGCTATCTCCCCAGCCCCTAACCTAGGAACATTTCTACCAGTCTTTTCCAGCAATGTCTCCTGGGCTTTTTTTTTTTTTTTTTTTCTTTAAAATCTTCTTTATTGACCCAATCTGTCTTTGAACTTGTGATCTTCCTGCTTCAGTCTCAGCTTCTCAAGTATCTCTTGCATTATAGGCCTCAGCATGATTCTAACATTAAAAAACAATGTTCATAAGCATTATCACTCATAAGATTTGCCATAACCACTTCTATGATACTGGACATGTTCCCAGTGTCTTTAACTTTTCTACCTGGGATATTTAGATTTATTAGAATGATACAAGTGGACCAGGAAGATAGCTCAGGGGTTGATAAGTGCCTGCCTGGCAAGTGCAAGGACCAGGTTCAATTCCCAGCACCACACGCCATGCTAGCCTCGCCCCAGGCCTGCTGAGCTAGCGACCAAGACCGGGCATGGTGGCACACACCTCTAATCCCAATGCTTGGGAGACTGAAACAGGAGGATCACTGAGTGTGAGCTGTGTAGTGAGACCCTGTACCAAATACATGATTTTAAAAAATTGTTAAAAAAAAAATTACAAGCAAGCATAAGATGAGTGACAAGGTTAAAAGACTTCAGATTTCTTCCTCCACCCCCTTCCCCAGGGATTTTCTTGGGGTTTGGGAGGGTTTTTTTGAGGTTTTTGGTTTTTTGAGTTAGGGTACTACTCTGTAGCCCAGGCTGGCGTTGCACTCACCATGTAATCCAGCCTGCTAAGTGCTGGGTTTACAGGGGTGTAATACCACACCTGACATAGTTTTGGTTTTTTAAGACAGGGTCTTACTGTCTAGCCCATGCTGGCCATAAATTCACAGTGATCCTCTTTCCTTCACCTCTCAAGTACACAGGTGTGTGCCACCACATCCAGCTTGACTTTTCAGATTTGTTTGTATCCTCAGAGTTGGTCATCCTACCAGCTTATCTAACATAAGCTAATTGTACTAAAAAATCGGATAAAGGAAAATAACTTGGAAAAAGTTAAAAAAAAAAAAAAAGGACGTGACTAATTGTGAAGTGAAGATTGTAGGACTAGTCTGAACTCTGAAAGATGGCTAAAAGGCAGACGTACAAAGAGAGTATTCATATTTTCAAACAGATACATTCCATTCATGTTTCCAAACATAACAGACATGCTTGTTTTGTAGAAAATGAATTTTGGGGCATGATGGTTTAAACTTAGTATGGATTATACACTTTCTGACCGTTATAAGAAGTAAATATAAAGTTCCAAAAATTTTAAAAAATATATAGGGAGGGGCCGGGGAGATGGCTCAGTAGAATAAGCGCTTGCCTGGCAAGCACAAGGGCCTGAGTTCAATCCCCGGTTCCGCAAAAAAAAAAAATAAATAAAATAAAAAATAAAATAAAAATAAAAAAAAAAAAAATATATATATATATATATATATATATGGAAATAACTTTTGAACTTATCAGACCAGAGCTTTATAAAAGTGATTTGTTATGTGAGGCATGAAGTGAGTGCCGTTGTCTTCCTAGGCTCTGTGACCTCTGGCCTGTGTCCATAGTTAATACCGATGATGTTGCAGTAGTTTAATGACTGAGGATAGGCCCCTGACTCAGCACTTTCTAAGGAAAAATGGCTAGTAACATGATTTACCAGATGTTTTCAGGAGACAATCCAGACTACCTGTGATACACTTAAAAACCTTTTGTGCGTTTTGTTGTTGTTTGCATTTTTTGTTATGTGTTTTTAATATATATGTTAAAAACAGCCTGTTTTCAGCCTCCCCAGCTCTGGGATTAGAGGCATACACCACCATGCCCCGACTCAGTCACAGGTTCAGCACACCTGGCGGCAGGACCAGCTCTGCATGGGTACTAGGAATCGATCCCTGGTCCCTGCACTTGCCTAAGCAGGCACTTAGTCTGCTGAGCTATCTCACCAGCCCTTTTTGTGTGTTCTAAAAGACTGCGACTCAGGATTTTCCAGACTTTATACTTCCCAGTAATGTGTGTTGACTTATACAATAGTCTGAGGAATCTGAGTGTCAGATCTGTTTCTCTGGTCTTTAAAAAAAGGCCCTATCATTTCTTATGATTCACTTATTAGGATTTTAACTCCATCTTCTCTCTGGGGTTCTGTAGAAGTTGCAGTTCAGTAAGACCTATGTTAGTACAATAGAATTTTCTTAGCAGGTATGTTTTGAACTAGTATTAATTTGTTTGGTTTTGAAAGGCAGTTGAATTTGGGCTTGGCAACACATGCTCTGAGCTCCAGCTACTTGAGAAGCTAGGTAGGAGGATGGCTTGAGCCCTGGGGGTTTAGGACCACGTTGGCAGACGGACGGACAGGCAGACAGACCAACCAACCACAATTTTGTAAAAATAAAAATCTTCAAATATTAAATTTTGACACAAAACTTAAATGTGTATTCATCTCATGTAGAGTAGTATGTACGAATTTTCCAGCTTGCATTCTAGGTAATGTTACTTCCATAAACTATCATCAAATGTATTGTCTTTTGAGTCTGGTTTCATTTAACTTTGAACTAGAAAGCTAGGCATGGTATCAAATGTTTGTAACTCCAGCATTTAGGAGGCTGAAACAGGAGGATTGCTATGAGTTTTAGGCTGCATAGTGAGTTCACAGTCAATCTGAACTACATAATGATACCCTTTCTGAAAAGAAAAAAAAAAGGTATACAAAAAGTAAATTTGAACTAGAACATGGGGTATTGGAAAAGTGAGTTAAATAGATAGTCCTTTCTTTTAGGGTTAGTATGCCCAAATGATCAGCCGTTTTTCAGGATCTCACCTTCACTTTGTCTTTTTAGAACCTATCTTTTTCAGTCTTTCTGCATTCATATTTTATCATTTACATAATATTCAAACTGTGTGAAAACAGTTACAAAAACAGCTGTGTTGGCCACTGTAGAAACAAGCACAGTTGCCTCTGAGCAAGCATACAGTGCCGTTGCTGGTGGCAGAGTGAACCCAGCGTAGCCATGACCCTACCTGGTGTTTTGCAGAGGCAAGAAACACATGGTAACATGGTAAATCACTTAAGTGGAAGCCCATTTAGAAAGCTGCTTTGTTTTTATAAGACAAATACTTTGCCTCTGTTTAAATGAGCAATGTTGGCCAGTTAAAACATTAAAAAAAAAAATTTGAAGAATTTGATGGTGGTTGTTTTGAGAACATGCTGAGGCTGGCACATCAGTATTCACCCTTGGCCACTTCTTGCTTTCCTCCTGTGTCTCTGCCATAGTTGAAAAAAGTGAAAGATTTATACGATCTGAAGAGAAACCAGAGTATGCTGCAGGTGAAGGTGTGGGATCTTAATGGTTTTCCTTAGAGCTTAAAATGCAGGAGAGCACAATGATTTACTAGACTCTAGACCTAGTATGGACAAATAAAATCCTGCAGTAAAATATTGGGTTATGCCAGGAGTATGTCAAATGTAATAGAAGTAATTTCATTTAATATTTTTCTAGGCAATCGATAGCATTCATCAAGTGGGAGTCTATTGTCTTGCTCTGGTACCTGCCAATACGTTGCCAAAAACGCCGCTAGGAGGGATCCATATATCTCAGACCAAACAGCTCTTTCTGGAGGGATCTCTACATCCTTGCAACATACTTATGTGCCCACATACGTGTGTGACGAATTTGCCAAAGCCCCGGCAGAAGCAACCAGGTAACTCAAAGTGTTCAGGGCATAACATGACAATTGGAAATTTAAGACAGTGATACCTGATGGTGTGATTCTTTGTTTAGAATTTGACTTTACAAAGACCAGTAGCACAGGAATAGCATCACTTAACAAAAAGTAAGGAGGATTGAGACCCCGAAAAATAGATTTTATTGGATTTGTTTCCATCTCTTCTAAGTAGTATGCTTCTAATTTTCCAGGGTATAAAGTGTGGGTCAAGATGATCAGAATTGCAATAGCAGTACTTAGTAAAAAAAAGTATACTCTAAGGAAAGGTTCTGTTACTAAGAATAGCTGGTATTAGTATCATATATATGTGACCCTAAAGTTGTACTCTTAGCTGTGGAAACTAAAGATCAGAAAAGTTAAGTATCCTGCCTAAAGTCACATAGAGATTTACACATTGTACCTAAAATCCATTCTGTGTACTGTGCCTTTTAGTTGCAAATCTCTTATCTAGAGCCATCCCCTCTCATTACTTTCAGCTGTAAGGGATCTGAGTTGGCCCTGCAATTCCTCCGGGAGCAACATAATTACCTCAGAACTTTTTTGGATTATAAGCACAAAATAACCAACCTGCTTTGTGTTTGTTGTATCCTTATGATTACAAGGTTGTATGCTTATGATTACTAACAATGTGACTTCACCTATGGAAAAGAAAAAAAAGACAAATAGTTTTACCTTTTTGCATGATTTCTGAGCAAATGACAATTACAGGGCTAAATAGGCTAAGATCAGGAATAATAGGCTGAAGATCAGACATGTTAAAGTAAGCCATTAAGTTCAAAATATGACCATGAGGCTTTATTGATTCTTCTTATTTTTAGAGCTAATCATGAGAGGCTCTAGTTTCTTGGATGCCTGACAGCAAATAACAGGGAGAATCTGGCCTCCTGAGACCCCACCACATACAGATGTACACATAGTGTACATCAGTGTACATCAGCCTCCAAATGTGTTGGGAAAAGAAAATGAAAGTTATCTGCTGTGCAGGCGCACACCTGTAATCCCAGCTCTTGGGAGGCTGTCAACAGGCAGATCACTATGAGTTGGATCTAATAGTGAGACCCTGAACACCCTGTAGACCCTTCCCTAAAATACAAAAAAAGAAAAAAAGAAAGATTAGAAAAGGAAGGAAAAATGTGGCGTTATATTTCTGTTAGCTGTTTGCTGAAAGGTAAAGGGGATATTATAAGTATAAAGTAAGCCTCTGAGATTCTAGGATATTATGAAACTATCAGATGTTGATATGCTTCAGTGATTACTTCAGTGGCCTGTTGGCTGAAGGTCATATCACATGGTTACCTAGCTGTTATTATCAACTCATCAACTATAGTTACTCCTGTGATCCCAGCCTTGGGAGGCTGAGACAGTAGTGTTGCCATGAGTTAAAGGCTAGCCTAAACTACTGTACATGGCAAGACCCTGTCTCAAAATAAAAACAGAGTCTTCAAACATGTTATCCACCTGGGCATATCGCAATAAATAAAACAGGCATGCTACTGAATGTGGTGGTGCATATCTATAATCCCAAATCCTGTGAGTTGGATTACAAAGGAGGAAGACTATAAATTTCAACCTGTCTTAGGTAATTTGGTGACTCAGCAAGACCCTGTCTCAAAACAAAAAGGCTACTGATGTAGTTCAGTTTATATTTTCTTGGTCCAGTTTCTAATACGCAGAGGAACCAAGTGTAGTGGTACATACCTATAATCCCAGCGCCCTAAGAAGCTGAGGCAGTGAGATCCAAAGTTTGATCTCAGCCTGGGCAATTTACTAAGACTGTCACAAAAAATAAAAGGGCAGAGATGTAGCTCATCACAGAGGCACTGGGCTTGATCACCATTGTTGAAGAAGACAGTATGCATCCACAAACCCACACGTAGGAGTAGGAGTTTCACTCTGTGGTAGGATACATGTTTGACGTGCTTGAAGCCTTGGATAACACCAGGAGAATCCTGTCATCACCTGTCCCTCTCAGTTTCACATTCAGCTATGCTAAAGTTGTACATGTATTGTCATGTGGATAATCTTATTTTGAGTAATATCTAGTGTAGAATTCTTTCCACAAAGCATTTGTGTTGGAGTAGAATACTTAAAAGATGTTGCAGCTGGGTATGGTGATGCATGTCAGTAATCCCAGCACTCAGGGCTGAGGCAGGAGGATCACTGCAAGTTCAAGACCAGTCTGGGCTATAATAAAGTGAGCTTTAAGACCAATTTGAATTGCATAGTGCCTCAAAAAAAGACCAAAAATAAAAAAGAGGCTAAGGCGAGAGGATTGCCATGGGTTTGTGAGTTTGAAGCCAGCTTGGGTACATAGTGAGTTCAAGACCAGCTTGAATTGGGGCTGGGGCGATAGCTCAGTAGAATAAGCGTTTGCCTGGCAAGTGCAAAGGCCTGAGTTCAATCCCCAGTTCCGCAAAAAAAAAAAAAAAAAAAAAGACCAGCCTGAACTGCATAGCAAGACCCGTTCTTTGAAAAATGCCAGGTATGGTGGCATATACCTATAATCCCAGCACCCAGGAAGCTGAAGCCTCAGGATCGCTTCAAGTTCAAAGCCAGCCTGAACTTAGACCAAAAAAAATCTAAAAACAAAAGTTTTATTAGTATATGTTTGTAGTACTTTATGTTTATTTCTTATGTGGGAATTGGTACATGTACATAACACATCTTTTTTTATTTTGTTTTTTAAGACAGGGTCTTGTTATATAGTCCAGATTGGCCTCTAACTCATGGCGATCTTCCTCTCTCAGCCTCCCCAGTACTGGAATTACAGGGGTGTGCCACCACCCCTGATCCCATGTGCATAACACATTGTAATTCTCTTTTTCATCCCTTTCCCGTCCTTCCTCTGCCTCCCTACTGTGTGTACGTGGTGGTGGTGGGGGAGAGATTCTGAGGCAAAGTCTCACTATGCAATTTAGGCTAGCCCTGTGCTCAATTAGTAGCCCAGGCTGGTCTGGAACTTGCAACAATCCTTGTGCCTCCGCCTTCCCATGCTGGGATTACAGGCATGCACCACCACACTCAGTTTCCCTCTGTCTCTTGATCTCCTTCCCATTTGAGAAAGGTCTGTCTCCCTATGTATAATTTGGGTTTCTCGTAGAAGTTATGTAATATTTAAGTTTGTGTGTCTGATGTTTTCATTTAGCAGTATGGTCTTCAAGTGAATCCATTCTTCTACAAATGATTCAAGTTTTATCGTTGTTTATGGCAGACTACATGGTACCTTGGTTCATGAATGCTTTTGTTTGAAAGCAGTTTGCTTCACAAACAGAAGTGTTCAGCAAAATTTTGGTATTTTGAATTTGTTTACAAAGTCTGTATTAGTTGACAAACAGAACTATGGCCATCATTCCTGCACAAATACAACTCAAAAAAACAAAACCCTCAACTATGTAAAAGACTTATTGCTGAACTTTCAAATATGCATCCTCCATTTTGTCCCTTCTGATGAAAGCATGTTTATGCATAGTATTTTTCTTCTGCTGGAAGCTTATGTATAGGGCCAAAGTAGTTTTGAAAATCATGGCATTGGGGCCGGGGAGATGGCTCAGTGGAATAATCACTTCCCTGGCAAGCGCAAGGGCCTGAGTTCAATCCCCGGTTCCGCCAAAAAAAAAAAGAAAAAGAAAAAATTATGGCATCAGCAGGCAGAGATAATAAGGGAATAACACAAAACTTAGGACTTGAGAAAAATACAAAACATCAAAGACAAATAAGGAGTGAAGGAAGAAAGGAAAGGAAACAAAAAAGGTGTTCCGGCAGCCCACGGCAGCAGTGGAGATGCCTCTGAGCATTTTGCTGGACAGAATGTGACTGTGTGTTGAGGGCCAGTCTCACCTGCAAGCGGCAGAAAAATGTAGCATCAGCTTAAACAAGAATCAAGTTTATTTCTTTCTGAGGTAAAAGAAGTTCAGAGTACACTCCTGATCTTCTAGCTACGCAAGAAGATTTTTGCTCTGTGTTTGATCAGTCAACTATTTTAGTTATGCTACGTACAAGATACCCCAAGAATTCAGTGCCCTGAAATAACAGCAGTTGTTTTTCACTGTGAAATATTGGATTAGCTGAGCTGGACGCTGCCCCAGGCTGTAGGCTGAGTTCAGAACTGTTCATGCGGCTCCTCATCATGAGACCAGCAATTCCCAAAACCACATTTCTCTCAGGGCAGATGGCAGAAGCAAGAAGGCCAGCCAAACCACACAAGCTTATTAAGTCTTCAGCTTGTGTTATGGTCTCCTAACATTTCATTCTCCGGAACAAGTTAGACTGTGCCCAAAATCAGAGATCAGAGAAGTAGACTCTTCCCATGTGAACACAGCTAGGACAGGAAGGAAAGAAAGGATTCTGGGACAATAAGATGATCTGCCACAGCACTCTTTATCCAACTACTTCAGGGTCCATTAAACTTCCTAGCAGGTGAGAGAAGGGGTTGAGAAAGGAAACCTTTCCTTTCGATGTATTTTCTAGCAGTTATATCTATGGCTTCCCCTTACATATTATGCTCACATGCTGAAGGATACAGTGTTTTCCCAGGCACATATCCAGCTGGAAACTGGGTCCTGTGTTATTAAGGAAGAAGAGATGAATAGGTATTGGGTTGATAAATAGTTTTTACCACAAAAAATATATACAGAGCTTTGTTCAGTAAAACAAGACATATTTACTGGTACAATACATCAACTTCCAGGAATTACTAACTTAGTATTTTTCTTTCTTAGCTACAGACTCAAAAATTACACACAGGCTGGCCAAATAGCTCAGTGGATTAAAGCGCCTGCTTAGGCAGACAGATGGAGGGGCCAGGGTTCAATCCCTGGCCTGCTTTGCTGGCCCCGCCCCCGGGGCACGTTGAGATTGAGACTGGGCATGGTGGTGTGTGCCTGTAATCCCAGCTCATGGGAGGCTGAATACAGGCAGATCACTGTGAGTCCGATCTACGTAGTGAGACCCTGTAGGCCCCGTACTAAAATACAAAAAATAAATAAATAATGAAAAATAAGTTACATACAGAATAACCTAAAGATAATGTCACTGAAGTTTTGTGATTTTAAACTACTGTGCAGAATTCACTTTTTAAAAATGTCATTCCAGAACTAGGGATATAGCTCAGCGGCAGCGTAAGTGCCTGCCTGAAAAGTGCAAGGTCTGAAGTTCAATCCCTGGTCCCACCAGGAAAAAAAAAAGTCATGATGCCAGAGCCAGGCATGTTGGCACACATCTATAATCCCAGCTCTGGGGAGAATGAGGCAGGAGGATCACTGTGACTTAGAGGCCACCTGAATTACAGAGCAAATTGTAATGTCTCAAAACAAAAAGCCATACCTTTATATTTACAGTGTGAATTCAAGATTGGACAGTTTACATAATCAAATAATACATCTGAGTCCCTGCATTAGGGCTCTTTTCAAAGTGATTATCTGGGGCTGGTGAGATGGCTCGGTGGTCTAGAGCACCTACTTAGAACAAGCTTAACTAAAGCAAAGGGACCGTGGTTCAATCCCCAGCACCACATGCCAGCCAGCCCCGCCCCCTGGTGGGCTGAGCTGGACACACACACACACACACACACACACACACAAATAAATAATTTTTAAAAAAAAGCAAAGTGATTATCTGTAATTTATTACTCAATTTCCTAAGAAAGAATGTTGTATATTATACTCAAAATTGCAGTAGACGCTTTATGGCAAATGGATCCACAGTCAGTCACGTAGGAAATGCATTTTTTAAAGGGTTTTTTTGTTGTTGTTGTTTTGTTTTGTTTGCGAAACTGGGGATTGAACTTAGGCCCTTGTGCTTGCCAGGGAAGCGCTTATTCCACTGAGCCATCTCCCTGGCCCCTCAAGGTTTTTGTTTGTTTGTTTGTTTGTTTGTTTTTTGTTTTTCCAAAGTGTATATATATATTTTTTTCTTTCTCTTTCTGTTACCAGAATTCGAACTGATGACATCGAGCTTGCCAGGCAGGGGCTGTGCCACTGAACTAAATCCCCAGTCCTCTCCCCTTGGCCCCCCAGCCTTGTGTTCACTTTTGTAGCCCCCAGAATGAAACTCTCAGTGGTAGTCCTGTTTCAACTTCTGAATGCTGGGATAACACATGAGCATCACTACACCTGGTTCTGGGTCATGGCGCCCAAGGTTTCAGTGCTGCATGCAGTGCCAGGGATCAAATTCAGATCCTTGAGCTATTGCCAGTAGGCATTAAGGCCGCTTAGCTATCCCCAGGCCCTGAAATTTTTTTAAAATACTTTCATGCTTGGGCTGGGGAGATAGCTTGGTGGCATAAGCACCTGCCTGGCAAATGCAAGGACCCAAGTTGGATCCCTGGTACTTCATGCCATACTGGCCTCAGAACCCCATGCCTGTAATTCTAATTACCTGTACTTAGGCTGAGGAAAAAAATTTCAACTTCTGGGCCAGCCTGGGCAACTTGGCAAGACTTGTCTCTAAAAAGTAAAAAATGGTAGGGATATAGTTCAGTGGTAGAGAGCCACTAGATTTTTTTTTTTTTTAATGTCCTTGTCAGGTGAAGTGGTATACACTTGTGATCCCAACACATAGGAGGCTGAGGCAGGAGGATCACAGTGAGTTTGAGGGCAGCCTGAGGTACATAGTGAGACTGTTTCCAATAAGCGAATGAATGAATGTTTTAATCAATTTCAGTCTGTCTGAAAGTGCTCTAGGGATGTGAAACTTGAATTACTATCTCCAATGAGTTGGTTTTATATCTATTTACAGGTGTTGGTCCTGCTTCTGTGATGGTAGGGAATCTGGTTGCTGGAAAACGCATAGCACAAGCTGCTGGAAGGGATCTGGGGCAAATTGAAGAGAATGATTTAGTGAGGAAGGTAAGTGTTAATTTTTGAAATGAGTCAAGGATATGACTTACACTTCAGGTAGCAAAAGTCTGGATTATATGACTATTTGAAAATTGCTCACCTTTTTTTCTGCCTTCTAACTTCAGCACCAGTTTCTGGCTGAGATTTTGCAGTGGCGAGCCCAGGCAACGCCTGACCATGTCCTCTTCATGCTGTTAAATGCCAAGGTAGGAAAATTTAGTTGTACATCTAATCAGCTGCATCCTTTGGGAGTATTTTAGGACCTCTTGGTTTCGTTTTAAATAGAAATTCTTTGTTATCGCCTCTAAAGGATTTACTGCTTTCTCCTTGTTTTGATACATGAGGATAGGTTGTGCAGAATAGTCTCCAAGGCAGGGCAGTGTGGCTGGGAGGCATCACATGGCATACACAGTCCATGGTGTGGCAGGCAGCAAGTGGCAGCAAAGGCAGCAGGCCTGCCTTCCCTCAGTCCCTTTGTATTGCAGCTATGGGGCTTCTGTCATCCACACCCTCACCCCGCACCACACCTTTCTTCTACATTCACACACCCTAAACCTAACCATTGCCAGAAAGCCCCACCTGTGACTGCACGAGGCTTTGGGGTAACATCTAGATACAAGTCATAACCGCATCTTGTAACAAGTCATTATAAACATCAAGAACCAATGCTCGGGGGCCGGGGAGATGGCTCAGTGGAATAAGTGCTTCCCTGGCAAGCGCAAGGGCCTGAGTTCAATCCCCAGTTCTGCCAAAAACAAAACAAAACAAAAAAAAAAACCAGAATTTTTAAGGGCTGGGGAGATGGCTCAGTGGAATAAGCACTTCCCTGGCAAGCACAAGGGCCTGAGTTCAATCCCCAGTTCTGCAAAAAAAGGAAAAAGAAAGAACCAATGCTCTTACGATAGAAAAATGTTAGTTCTTCTTACTTTGTAATCTGCATGAGGTGAGCTCCTTAGCCCATGAATTTGTTAAGACCTTACACTTCATGAAGAAGCTGTTAGCTTACTCACCAGGCTGTGGTTAAATTTGTGCATGCTAGAAGATCCACCCCCTCAAGGCATGAATTTTATTTTGTTTCTTAGAGAAATAATATAAATGAATGACTCCCCAACAAACATGTTTTTTATTCTTCTGTACGTCCTAATATTCTGTTAGATTTACCCAGACTAGCAGGGTCCTAACCACATGTTGTTTGTTCCTTATGGCTGGAACATTCTTACTGAACTTTAGTTTGCTACTGTGCTTTATGAGTTTAACCCTGAATTTAGCCAAAAGGATATTTTAGTGTTATAGCCTTAATGCCCAATAATAGATGGCTAAATAAATTATGGCATAGAAATATGGTAAAATAATACT